CGTTCTTTGGAGATTGAGCTATCTTCTGGGTGGAACAATGTCACAAATGGCCAACTTCAGATTCGTGCGGCAACAGCTGGGCTGCGGCTTCAAACGAGTGAGGTAGCGGTTATCGACGGACAACTTGAGATTTCCAAGAAGAAAGAGGCAGGGGTTGTTCACTTTGGTGCAATGGAAGCAGAGAGTATTGCAAGAATACGAGTGCCGTTCAATCTCGAACACGAGGTAAACGAAGTCACACTTCGACTTGAAATATCTTACACAACGAAAGATGGAGACTTTTTCTTTGCTACGACTTCTTCGGTGTCAATCATACTCCCACTGGGCGTCAATGTCCAGGACGTATTCAAACATAAAGCATTGTTTTCTAAATTCACCATCTCCACATCCACGAATAGCCCGCTTAGACTTCTTAGTTCCAGGTTGGAAAAGTCCGAATTATTTGAGGCACATTCTGGACTTGGCCTAACACGACCTCTCACCATATTTCCTCGTCAACCAGCGTCTCTACTGTACAAAATCATAAAGACAGATTCCCCTTCTTCCCCAACTATTCGACGGAAGTCCCATAAACCGAGAACTTTATCTCTCATCTTACATTATATTTGTCTCGATGAAGAGGTTTATGATGTTGTGGCTCAAGTTCTGGGAGATTTTCTTGGGAGCAATTCCTTGCGACCATATACTCGTTTAATTATACCTGTCGTTCTTTCGGAACTTCGATCACATTTTTCGCTATACGACTTTGAAAGGGCCGCTATTCTTGGTGAGATACCTACTTCAGCTATTTTCAACATCAGATGGCATGACCATTTTTCGGGACTGGGCAATTCTATCGAACGAGACCAAGATACTGCTCTGCTCATTTGCAACATACTTCAGGAATGGCAGAAGCAAAATCCTGTGATCCCTTTACCTCTCCTATCAGTCGACGGGGCTGCAATCTCAAAAAGCCGATCGATCGTAATCCCTGTGGATGTTCCATCGGTGATGGTGGTGCATACTGCTGATCTACGGCTACTTCAAAAAGCATCAGTAGCTTCTAATATTGCTGTAGCAGCAGCAAACGAGCCGATACCAGCATCATTGCACCTCAAATCGACAAGGAACTGGGACACTGCCTCGCAAAATGATGCCGCAAGCCCAGGGGAAGATATTGAATTTGTATATGAGGTCACAGGTCCATCAGATACATGGCTCATTGGTGGTAGGCGAAAAGGTCACTTCAAAGTCCCTAAAATTGTAGATGGAGGGAATCACAAATTGACTTTCCCTATCGTGCTGATCCCTCTTCGAGAGGGGTTCTTGCAATATCCTTCTATAGAGATCAAACCACTTCCCGCTGCCAAGAGTACCAGGCCAGGATCATCAGGCGGTGGAGAGGAAGGCGGGAAGAATAAATCACGACCTGTAACTTGCGAAACTGACTGCAAGAATACTGGCGAAACAATTAGAATTATAAGTGATGCCAGGAAGACGACTATGAGTTTAGATGCTAGTGGACCGCAGGGCGGAGCTTGGCTGCTAGAAAGTGAGAGAAGACCAGCGGGCGCTGGAGGCATTGTGATCGATTGAAGACATCAGACTTAATATAATAATTTTGGAACAAGGATGTTTGAATGCACAAAATGAAATGTGATAGCGAGGTCTAATTTTTCGGATCAATTACAACAATGAAGTTAAGCTTCATATTGAGTGACAAATAGGTAGAAGACGGTCCTCGTGCAGCCAGAAATTATGACTTACGACCCCGCCGCTAAGAAAAGCATGTTAGCCCCCTTGTAGTTTATTTGCATCTAGCTTCGGAGTTGCATGCTTTCTGGCAGCACGAGTACTGTTCATTAGGTAAGATTAAATGAGCTGAGGGGGGCGGTGGAGTGGGAAAACTTCCCGAGGAGTGAAGTAGATTAATTGCCGGAGGAACTAACAGCGGAAAGGCGAATTGCACGTCCCCCACGGCCCCTCCCGTATAGAAACTCGCGGGATTGAGGGGAAAAAAACGTAGGATCAATTTGCCCGTCAATCTTGGCAATCATACCTAGATAGATATGTTTGGCAAAGATTAGCAATGGTTAAACACGATTAGAATCATTACAACAGGAAACTAATAAGGATTGAGTATTGCACTATTCTAGGGATTGAATGACCGCATGTAACGTAAACGTCTATCATCTTATCGAGCCGCGTATCAATGTTGCTTGACCGAGCCCAGTTTCCTCTCCAGTTTCGTTAATATATCAACCACTATCGGCCAACCGACTCGCCACATCTACTGCAGTCATCATCCAGCCCTTGTCTCGTGCAGATATAAGGAAATGATAGGTTCAGGGTCTCCGCCCTGGGTCTAAATCTAAAGGCTGTGATTTGATCAAATCTACGAACGGTCAAGATCCAAGTACTACCTTGGATGCGAGGATGCTCCTGCCATTCTGCTAGAGATCAAGTATTTTTCTTACATATGGAGGTAGAGGTTTCCCCTGCAATGCATATAATATCGACTTCCTTCTCTTTCTATTTCTCTCGACATTATACCCATTGCTTCTATTCTTTATTGAGGTAAATTGCGGAGGATCACCATTCATTATGGAAGAGAAGTCTAGTCACAGTCCTGTGACAACCTATCCTGAAGAGTCCACAGGTTATGGCGAAAAAGCTCTTCCAAACTACAATGGCAATGATATCCAAGCAGAAGGGCTCATATCTGAAAATGTCGATGGTCTCAAACGAGAACTTTCAGGAAGACAAATTCAGATGGTAACTATTGGTGGTTCAATTGGTACGGCTTTATTCATATCCATTGGATCGGGGCTTACACAAGGTGGACCGGGATCTTTACTCATTGCCTTCATCTTATACAGTTGTTTCCTTGGATTGGTTAACAATTGTATGGCTGAGATGTCAATCTTCATGCCGGTTAGTGGAAGTTTTGTGAGGATGGGGAGTAAATGGGTTGACGAAGCCTTCGGATTTATGCTAGGGTGGAATTTCTTTCTTTATGGTGAGTAGTGTTCAATTGTGTGTGACAAGTTACGAATCATGCAGATAAATGCTAATGAGGATCTGACTCTAGAGGCTATATTGATTCCATGGGAGATTAGCGCGTTAAATTTGGTGTTAACTTTTTGGAGGTATGTATCTTTAGCTCCTTTTTTCAACCGATCATCACACTTGGACATATCTAACGCATTAGGACAGCGACAATATACCCTTAGCAGCTGTTTGCGCTGGATGCATCTTTCTTTATGGGTAAGTTTCTATCTCAATACCTAGGTAGCATTTCTGACTAGAGTAGTGTTATTAATCTCTTTGCTGTTAAATGGTATGGAGAAAGTGAGTTTTGGCTGTCTGGTGGCAAGGTAGTGTTGATCGCTATGATATTTTCCTTCACATTTATTACAATGGTCGGAGGGAATCCAAAACATGATGCATATGGGTTCCGTTATTGGAAAGAACCTGTAAGCTCCTCGCATTTTCTGAGTTTTCATTCGTCCTAATCAATGATCTGTAGGGTGCATTTGCCGAATACGTCACCACTGGATCTTTGGGTAGATTTGAAGGATTTCTTGCCGCATTATGGAAAGCCGCATTTACTATTGTTGGGCCTGGTATGTCAGATCATGCCAGAATCATACCAAAAAAAGTATAAAGCATTTAATTCTAACGATTTTCTAGAATACATTGCTATGATGTCGGGTGAAGCCTCGCATCCCCGCAAAAACCTCAAGCGAGCTTTCAAGACGATCTACTGGAGATTTGGAGTCTTCTTCATTGGAGGAGCTCTAGCATGTGGAATAGTCATTCCATACAATGACAAGAAGCTAATTGCTATTCTTTCGAGTGGTGGCTCTGAGACTGGAACTGCAGCTTCAAGTCCCTATGTTCTTGCTATGCAAAATTTGGGAATTGGCGTACTTCCGCATATTACAAATGCATTACTTGTGACTAGTATCTTTTCCGCCGGTAACTCCTATGTGTATGTTATCCTCCCCCCCTACGCAATGATGTCCTAGAAGATACTGACAGTACCAAAGTTACTGCGCATGTCGTACATTGTATAGTCTCTCTCTCGATGGACACGCCCCACGTTTCCTCCGCAAATGCACCAAGTCTGGTGTTCCCATCTATTGCTTTTGCGTCACCATGATCTTTCCCTTTTTAAGTTTCCTTGCCGTGGGCAACAGTTCGGCTCAAGTCATCACATGGCTCGCAAACCTTACCGAAGCCTCGCAAATCATAGATTACATTTGCATGTGTACTATCTATATATTGTTCTATAGAGCATTAAAGGTACAGGGTATAGATAGAAGTACTCTACCTTATGTAGGTTGGTATCAACCTTATTGTGCCTGGGCGGGACTTGCGGCAATGATTTTCACGGTGGCGTGTTATGGATACACCACATTTTTGCCAGGATGTGAGTTCTCTTTGTGCCCCCTCCTGCATGCTGAGTATTCGAAATATGAAAACAAAACTGACCAAAAGTAGGGTGGGACACCGGAACGTTCTTCTCGTATTATACCATGGTATTCGTCTGTCCAGTACTTTACGGGGGATGGAAAATCGTCAAGAAGACCAAAGTTATAAAACCAGAAGATGCGGATCTTGTATGGGAAAGACCAATTATCGATGCGTACGAAGCTAATATGGCTGAAAAACACATATCGTTCTGGCAGGAAGTAAAAATTATGATGGGATTTGGAAAGAAGGAAGTGCACGTGGAATAATGAATGATGAATGAATGATGGATAGAGAGGATAGACAGTCCAATCATCACCTTAGAGAAAAAGTACTGCCAGTGGAATCTTATTTCCTCTCACGATGTTCCTAGGAAAATACTATTTTGCGAGTACATTTGATGAATAATAAATGCTCGAGAATACTCTGCTAAAATCAGGGCAATTAATATAAATTTGAGATGACGCCTTCGGCTGGATTGGGAAGTCTAGGTAACATTGAGACTGCCTCAACCATAGTGAGCTCAATAAGAAGTAAAGCCTCTTTCACTGATTACCCCCCTCCAATCCAAACCCATCGAGTTTGAGTTTCAATTGTCTTATTTTGCCTACCGTCGACTTCTTCTCAGTCAATAACCGATGGATCTCAGAATCCAAATTTTTCGACCTCAGAGTTAAACACAGAATCTTCTTTCCCGTCTCAAGAACATCTTTAAACTTTTCTATGCATGCAATTCTCTCCTCACACTCGCTGCGCAACCCAGGAGACGACATTCTCCTGCGGAGCTCCTGAAACCATATTAAATGCTCCTCTAGAGACTCGATATGAATTTCCAAATGGCTAATCTGCTTTTCATACTCGGTAACTGAATCGGATTGCTTCAGGTAGTTCATGATTGCTCTTACATACGATACCCGTTGATGGATTCTTTGAGCCAGCGATTGGGTTTCGTCTGGGGTGTTGGGGACGGTGTTGTCGTTGAGCTTGGGTGGTGCACTTTCTGGTTTGTGTGGTAGGTTACTGAGGAGGTTGGAAGGGGTCTCGTCCTTTGGTGGGGTGGATGCGGACTAGATTGAATGTTAATTGTCGTTGATGGAACTTTTGAAGTTTAATAATTGACACTAGAGAGGATTATGAGGATGGTTTCATTTGAAGACCGCAACGTACCTCTGTATCGTTTGGCGATGTCATGTTTGGATTCTGCTGATTGCTCTTCTGGGTGATCACTTCTAATTCGACTGTGGAGACTGGTAATTATTTTAAAGAAAACAATGGATAAAAACCTAAAGCGATTTGGGACTTTATACCACCTTTCCATTAGTGATAGAAGCTATATGAAGCATGTTCGAGCACATTCGTGGCATCATCTAGCAATTCGTGAAGATTCTTTAATTCCAACACTCGCTAAAAGATACATATCGTACTGGAAGGAAAAAAGAAGAAGACTGCAAACTTAATACAAAGAAAAACTGGTCTTTAGAAAACCTCACAAGCTGCTCGACAAACCATAGTCTTCAATCCTACTTATCCTTTTACAAACTTTAAGAACAATTCGGCAAACAAAAATACACAATCCCATTATAAGTACCCCAAGCCCACCCAACTCCTAGCTTCCAATACCAGACATTTTCCCAAAATGACAACACAACCACACGATCTAACCGTCGTGGCAGCCCTATTCAGCGCCATCAAGGAGCGTGATGCGCTTCTCGTAACAATCAAGAGTAAAGATGCGATGTTGGAAGCATGCCAGGCACAGATATCGCAGTGTCTAGAAGAGAAAGAATTGTGTGGAAGGGCGCAGAAGAAGTTGGCGAAGTATGAAGAGATGCTTAAGGTTAATGGGTTAGAGGGGGTAGAGGAAGTGATTACTAAGTTGGATTATCTGGGTGGATTGGTGGAAAATTCGAGAAGTAGAGTGGGAGAGGTAGAGGCGTCGGAAAGGATATTGAAGATTGTTGGGGACGCTTAGGGGATGTTGAGTGGTGGTTAGTCAGGGGGAGGTGGGTTGATATGTGAGAATGTTTATTCTATCATGGTCTTGAGCTTAGTCTTGGGAAGTGACAGCTGCAACGCTTGTGAGATTGACTTTTTCTGTAGTATTTGAGGATGGTAACTGATGAAAATCGTTAATGAGTCAGTGGAGATTTTGACTTTTTAATAAATTCGTAAATCGGGTTTCGGAAGATTAATGATACTTCTCGACCGGAAAACCCACTTGGATATTCAGTTTTGTGCCATTAACTTTGACCTCTATTCACTGTCCACTGTCCCAGCTACATATGTCTGGACGATAGACGATACCTACCCAATCAAGAAGCCAAATCTTCTAGTTGGGACTCAAGGAGTTCAAGTTTGAGAACTACTTCATCGGAAGTCTAAGAAACCAACCATGATGCGCTTATATCAAAATCTTAGAAATACTATGCATTGCTGAAAAAGATACTGACTATCGGCCAAAAGCATGCGGTTGGTATCAATAAAAACTTCTTACCTATTGAGTAAACAACTTCCCTAGCATGTGCAATCTACACGCCATTAAAGTAGATGACATTTGTTCCCAGTTGACCATTTTTCATGCGTTGCCGAGGTGAGCTCCCTGCGAGAATTGTTGAGATATATGGCAATGGCAAAGCACAAAGACACGACATAAGAGTACATACGGACCTTGGTGGCTACAAATCTTAATACAGAAACCATGATCGAACAATGAACTCCTATCGCACAGATTAATTCCGACCACTCATTTCGACTCCTTGAATTCCGCATGTAGTTCCAAACTCACCCATGACCCAACCCATCTGCATGCGCTTCCACAATATAAAAGGAGCTTTGAAAGCTGTAGAGCAAAGGAACCAAACTCCCAATGTGTCGCATAAGAGTGAGTTGCGAATTGGGAAACAAGAGATTCGCAAGTATGAAAAAGGGTCGCAGGTATTGGTCTGTTGGATGGCAAAGAAGTTCCTCAGGAAGACTGATGAGAGATAGATAGATGAGTCAAATGATGCTAAACGTTTCAATCATACCTTTCTAATGCCATGCGCATTACTTCCTTCAATACAAATCTTCTTTGCGCTACAGTATTCCTTGCTGATATCGTTAGTTTGTTGAGGGATGCTTGAAACAAAAAGTGTTGGTTCTGATATCGAGCATGTATAGGCGCCTTTTTATCGTTGCCATCTGACGAGTTCATTATACTGTGCCGTGGCTCGTTGAAGGCCATTGATTCGATATGCGCTGTAGTTGGATATGAGAGCTTGTCAAATGTCGCTATCTTTTGTAGTATTGAAACTCACGAGACAGTACCAGAGTTTGTGACGTGCCTGGAATCAATGGATAATATACCAGTACGATACAACCAAAAATGAACTTTGAGATAATACCTCCTGCGGGAATTCGCGCAGTGGTATATCACACCATGACAAAGTGATGAGCTCACAACTCTGATACAATCCAACATTCATCCTCCCAAGTATTTCCCCATTCACCGCCCTCGCTTCTACTATATATATTTTAGAAAGCTTCGATCCAGCACATTAGGCGTATACATGGGAATGGCAACGTGGCGTGGTGCAGTGGTTTGATTCCACTCTTGACGATTCAACATCGTGCAACACAGCCGCACCGAAGGTCCCCGCAGGCAAATACTAGATGCACTAATTACACTTCCAATGAGAACTTCGCTCTAGGAGGAGGGACAAAAACCTACGGCTTGCTACCGTACCCAGTGCCGACACTGGCCCCATTTATTTTGCTATTTTTGATGTTGAATTTTTGGAATTTTGGGGGGAGCGAGAGTGGGTCTGTGTAGTCGAGGTGGTGAATTGGGGGGTTTTGATTGGTTGCGAGTTGTGGTGTCGTTGTCGTCGTCTCGCTTCGCGGTTTTTGTCGCGCTTCAATTTCGCCGCGTTTAAGCTTCTTTACTTTCCAAGTTACCACAGACTAGAGATCTTCGATTGTGGATATAAATATTTTGACGGTACGTAGCGTAGAGCTGTCAGGAAAATACAAAAAATAGTGCTTGATTGTGAAGTGCCATGGAGTGAATGAGGCGACCAAAGATAAGACAAGACTGCTTTGACTTGGCATCACATATTTTGCGATAACCTCTGAGATCAGAAGTATGCTGTGGAGGAATAAATTTTTCTTTTTCCATGACTTTAGTGATGCACACTTGTTTTCATGCTAATCGCATAACTGTCACTTTGTAAATGCTCCCCTCCCCTCCCGATCTCCTCGCTTCGCACCATGACATGCCCCACTTCTTCAGATCTTCTCTTGAGAGTTGCAGAAAACGACACTTAACGAGAACCTCGAGGCTTATGCCACCTTTCTGTATTATTGCTCATAGTGGAGTTTGTTGATGATCAAATATACGTACAGTATACCTCATCCTTCCATCTTCATTTCCAAATCCTCATCTTCCTCACTCCAGCACTCTAGTTCCATTTCCTTCGTCCCTTCAACTTCGTCTTCGTCATCGTCATCGTCGTCATCCTCATAATCGTCGTCATCGTCGTCATCCTCCTCATCACTTTCCTCTTCCCCCGCCACAAACCACCAATTTCTCCCCTCATAATAATCCTTATTCCCATTCTCCCTCACCTGCAATCTCAACATTTTCCTCAACTCATTTTCCTTCCTCCACAACTCACTCTCACACTGCATCAAATTTTTCTTATAATCCTGATGTGACCGCACTACTTTTCGCAACACAGCCACTTTCCTCAATCTCTCCCTTCCATCTCTTCCCTCTCCTCCTCCCACATTCAATCTCATCAATGCAACCTGAAGTTCTCGGGAGTATTTCTTCTTATCTTTCGTGACTTGTCGCGTATTGTCTTGAGTGTATTTTAACATGCCGCAGATCTCTCTATAGTGTATTTCTTGAAAATTCAAAGGGATATCGAGGATTTGGGGGGTGGCATTGCTGAAAGGTGAGTCGGGGTTTGGCTGGATGTCGTTGTATGATGGATACCAGGTTTGGGTGGGTTGGAATGCCATTTTGGAAGAGAGGTTTGGTGTTGAGGTGTGATGGGTGAGAGGATGGGGAAGTGATAAAGAATGAAAGATTGTGAGGTCTATTGATTTTGTGGTTATGATGTGAAGACTGTTGGAGAATGTTAAAGTGCCTTCGAGCTTTATCACTTATTCTGTTTCAGAATTTGGAATTGGCAGTACACGCAATCTTCCAGCAACTTCCAGACGAAGTTGCGGGATAGGATGAAGACGAGGATGGACTTTCAATCTGAGAGAGCTGCAGGATCACTAGAGAAGGCACAACGTAGTTTCTATCGTAGTTTGAATCTAGTTTCGAGTTCATTCTACTTCAAGAAAGAAACTGTTCTATCCAAGTCGTTGGCCCAAGTTATTCGTAGCAACGCACTCCCAAATAACTTTCTTCTTTTCTCATCTAGTGAAATCTTTAAGTGTTGAATCTATCTTCACACCCGTCCCTGGACTATTCACCACATGACTTCATACCTCCCAGCAGACCTCGAATTTTTTCTCTCCCAAGCCTTGGTAAGCCTCCATCTATAAACGGTGTTTGCACTCTTCATCAGCATCCTTAGATTCCTCAGTACTCGGCCCAACCAACAACGCATCCCCATCACCAGAATCAACACGCGTGAATGCTCTTAATTTTTCGGTCGAAGAGGTAATCGCTTGCGCTTTACCGGTCCCATAGTCGACGGATCATCAGAGTCAGACTCAACGTAGTCCCGCACTTTCGTCCTCACAAACTGTGCTTCCTCGCCCTTTGCCGCTCTTTGCTCCGCACTTTTCTTCTCCACTTCCTTCCATTCGCAATGAGTCTTGGGCAAGTGATCCTCTGCTTCTTCAAGAACCTTGTCAAGCTTATCTACCCAATAGTAAACCGACTGAATTGAAAGAGACTCCCATGGCAATTCTCCCCTCGTTGATTTATCGAAGTTTTGGCGTCCATAATCCCTCGACCCTTCTTTCTTTCGTATCTCCCTATATTCTTCCCAGTTCTTTTTCTGCTTATCCATTCGCTCCACTAGGATTTTACCCCAATTCTGCCATTCTTCAAGAGTATGCTTTTTGATAACAAAATTCTTCACCTCATCTACATGTTGCCTTTCTTTCATGATTTCGGCAACAAGAGCTGAGATCAGTGTATCAGTCGACATTTTGGTTTCTGAAATCGGCATGATCCTGTGGCTTTCATCACTAGGCGGATTACATGCTCGAAGCGTTTCATGTTCATCCTTGCCAACCGCGCGATGAAGATTTGCATGTGTGTCCTTAATTTCTTGTTTGATGATCGCAGGATCGATTTGGCCCTGTGGACTTTCCAATCGATCACTTTCTCGGTTTTCACTGAGTTTCTGTCTCTCATTCTGTCTCCCCTTCTCTTCGCGTTCTCTCTTGCGTTCTGTCCACTTCCTCACAGCATCTTTGTATCCCCGTCTTGAATCGCGAGACTTGTCAGTTACTCGAGTTCGATGCGGAAGTGTTGGTTGTAGTTGCGCGATTCGCGCCTCTTCTGCAATATCTTGCCGTCTGGGAATTTGAAGTCTAGCAGGCCTATGAACGAGTGATTTCGTACGATTTTTCCGTGAAACCTGTGGAGAAATCTCCACGACAACCCGGACACCAGATACAGCTGGCCTGAGGACAAGCGGCCTAACGTGCCTATCCTCTCCAAACCCTGTAGAAGCCTTCTTGGTAACAGGGACACCACGCACAGCTGGTCTATGCACTAAAGTTTTAGAATGCGACCACCGCGTCAACTGCTGAGAAGGCCATTCGACAGTGGTGAAGTAAGTTTCGTTATAACAAATATGTCAGAGAGATATTATCATCGAGATAAAAGACGAATGAAACAATGAAATTCATACATTCCCATCCATTCCATCCATCATCTCTTCATCATCCCTTCAAAAACCCCATCTCAAATCCTACAAATCTCGATATTTTGTTTTACCAACTGCGATTTCCATCAAAAACAGAGAGAGAGAGAGGTAAACAATCCAAAAGACCAAATTAAATATCTCAGAAATCAAACAGCCATCTTAGAAGACAAGACCACCATACTAACATGAAACCAGCGGGAAACACAAAGATTTCTCTCGGCGACACACTCATTCCCGAATATTCTCTCTATCCACAATCTAGAGGAATCGAGATGATATTCAGTGACGAATCTATTCCGTGTGAACAAAACAGACACAACTGCAGCGAAACGAAACGAACAAGTCACCAGTTACTCCACCTATGGAAGCGATCAAAACAGACGAGGAGTATAAGTAGCTACCGAATCCCAAACTCCCATTCACACCGCGTGTGTGAATCCTATTCCTCATAATATTCTGTTCCCAAGACTCCACATACCATATGTATCCAAACCCAAACATATCGATCGACTCATCTTCTCACGTTCTTGTAATCTCTCGAACACCTCTCCTCCTCCAATCCACCAACCAACTCATCACTTACATGACATTTCCCCATTTCTCTATTTCTTCGCCTCCGCAGAATGAATCTCGTTTTCCTCCTCTGATGTCTCCACATCGAAGCAGACAGTTGACAATGGAGTCATAGACGGTAAAAATCACTCCCATTCCATCTCTTACTCTTCCATAACCCGAGTCTTCCACGCCCTCGAGGAAACACCACCTCAAGAGCAAAAAAGCACAAAATTTGAAGAAAAAGCCAACCTTCCCAATCAATGATTCCATGCAAAATCAGAAATCAGAAGTCAGAAAGAATTTATACATCTAATACATCCCACAACTCCACACTTCATAACCATCCATCCATCCATCCACACGCAAGCAATCCTCAGAATCCACAAACCCCACGGCAAAAACCTTACTACCCTCTACTACTAAAAGAGAAAGTCTCCAAGAGTTTCCACGATGTGATAATGATTCTAAAACCATATAGACAGCACTAGCTATATATCAAAAACTAGAATTTTTCATATTCCTCATCTATTGTCCGGTTCATGGACTCTGTGCTGATTTATCTTAATTAATTGATGGCTTAATGAATCCTCTTACCCCGTGATCTTTCTGTCTATTGCTATCCATTTCGCTGTCTTCCTTGTGATTCATAAATGCATATAGATAGAAAAGATATACAAACCCCAGCACAACCCAACTCAACACAAACCATACACAAACTCAAAACTCCAGCCCATCCACCACCACACCCCCCATCAAACCTTGACATCTACAAAACCAAACCTCCGCCCTTCATTACATATAAACATACAAACAACAACAACAACAACAACAACACCAAATCTACACAACATCCACAACAAACCTCCACCACATCCCCATCTCATCTTACCAAACCAAAAACCAAAAACCGCCACCGCCACCGCCACCTCCACAATCCGAGAACCCGAACCCTGGTTCGCTGTATAAGTTGACCCAAACATATTTAAGTTTATGATTCAATATTCCTGCAGCCTTATCAAACCAAAAAACCGCCACAACAAACATTCCCCCAAACCATGGTTTTCTGGAATGTACCCGTCTGTATATTAAAAGTTTATCAATTCACCACTAGACAAACGGAGCATCATATCATATCATAACATAAACAAACAAGTATCCAAGAAGGGAATGTTGAACCAAATCGATACATACCGACTGGAATGTGGATTGTCATCGGATACTCGCGCTGCCCTAGAAAACCTAGTATCTGCAGATATCTTTCCCTCATTAAAGAAAGGTGTACGTTTTCTACAACTACTTACTAGAGTACCCTCTTTTTCTTGTAATAATGATAGAGTATGTACTATGCATGTACGTAACACAATTAAGTTTTGTAGAATAGTACAGAGAATATACTGTAGAATAACCACGCTTTTCGAATTCAATTCAGCGCAAAAGTAAGAAAAGATTATTTACTGCTCTAATCAGAGAAGTATATCAACGGAAGCAAATATCTAATTAAAATGAACTAGTTCTGATAAGATTGAAAAACCAAAATAGAATACAGAAAAATCGAAAAGGAATGATACACATGAGAGTCAAATACAAGGTTTAGCTAAGCCATTATACTTCGCTTCGTTCAAATCTAAATCTAAATCTGAAACTTGTCTTTTGGATTTTAGTTCTTTTCTATTTTTGACTTTGGTAGAAAAGGTTCCTCTTGATTGAGTATTTGCTTTCGTGGAAGATTGGAAGTTGCATCGAAGAGATAACGGAGCTCCTTTACAAGAGTAATATGTGTAATATATAAGACAAAACGTTCTCGCACGTTTCTTACACTTAAGGATGGTAGTAAAGTATCAGTTGGTGTATCATGTAGATAGTGAAAGACTAATCACTCAATTTCGGATAAAATTGGCGATGATGGGTCTATATCTAGATCGGGCTTTTGTCACACACTTCACTAGCAGTATGAGCCCTGCAGCTGAACGAACATACCTCAGGTGGAAATTCGTGATATATAACCAAGATGGGTATAAATCCAGTGACGCTTAAATGACTATTTGAACACCACTAGATTCCCTCAAGCTAAGCAAGACAATCTATGATGACATAAAGTAGGTTTCGGCAAGGTGCGTACCGAGTTTACCACTGTTGATAGCAGCAAGCTTATTGTAGCGTAATGTATTCCCAGAGTAAATTCGCTGGAGTATTTCCACTGCTGGGGTATTCCCACGAGAGACCTTATTACAACAGCTAGTGGCAGAGCGAATAAAAACAGTGCACTTGCATCTTCTTATCTTAGCTGTCGACGAGAAGAGTTTATGATGAAGCTTTCGTGAGGTGGAAGAGAATCTCAAGAATGCCGCATCGTTGAGGAAAGAAAGTGAACACGTGAGCGGGCCGATCGGATATGCACAAGCTCCAGCCATTAGGCCGTCATATCCGATGTTTGAAATATTTGAATTCTTTCTTTTTGTGAAGTCCCAAACAAGGAAGCGACTCATTAATTAACTTGAGGCTGAATCTGTTCCTTACATCAAACATATCGACGACTATGACTTCATAAGTAATTATTGCTTGATTTCAGGTATGATCCTGCTGATACCTCGCAAGTTGTACTACTCTGTTGTAGTGGCATAAAAATTTATACAGACAATGCAAGGATGAATAGGCAGAACATGTAGGATAAATAAAGGTGGTAATGCAAACAACGAATCGCAATGCGGTACCTTGATTTAGTCAGGGGTAAAGTATATGCCAAGGAGCGGCGGTGGAAAGAGCATAAAGGAGATGGATGGCTCAGCCCTGAGCCCGTATCTCTATTAGGTCGACTCTATCATATCGTTTTGCGCCGGTTTTCTTCTAAAACCAGAGCCAGTGATTGATTGATGGTGGGTGGTTATTAGAGTAGTGCGCGGTCTTAGAGGTTGAGATTTATTATGAATGAATGAGATGAAGGAAATGAAACCTGAGAATACGAGATTGGGTTGTTGTCGATCTGATTTTGAATTGATCTGGTCTGGATCTTCTTAACTTCTTGGGGTTTGTGGTGAGATATAATTAGAGTTACTGCATTCGTGTCTGTATAGCTGGCCCACGTTGGATGTGGGATGAATGTGGAAGTTAAAGTCGCACATCACCAGGCGGGTGAAAACAGTTGGAAGTTGTGATGGCAACGTGGAAATATCTTGACTTCGTGTGCTTCAATGGCTGAGTAACCTTCAAGCAAGGAACAACGAGGATCGAATGGAATGGTAGTCATGCTTCTCCACAAGTATGATTTTACCGTGTGAGCATATTACCTAGTACTTGTGATTAATAAAGTGTAACTGCAGAATCCTGCTGTAGGACATCTGTGGCAGTTGAAGCTGGATCATCTGGATTCTAATGCTGGCACGAAAAGGAAGAATATCGGAACTCTTGAGGGCCTTTTCCTCGTCAGCCTTTCAACAATTCTACCTACCACGCACTCCCAAGCTGTCGCTGCTGGACCCCGAGTCCCTCACTGCCATGCCATACCATGTGGTCCATGATAAGAACAGCATGATCATGGATCTATCATGGATTCATCATGCTGCCACCCCCACTATGTAAACAAACTATTACCATGCTGTTGTGAGATTAAAATTTGAGACTCGTCATGAAGCACGACTGGAACCAATAACTCCAAAATCCCCAGATCATACATCACGACATGGAAAAATTATCTATCGTGATTGTTATCTTGGCCCATCACGCTTGGATAGGAGACTTGTCAAAATCATGAGGTGTCTCCAGCCCGGCCGTGTAGAACTTTAGATAGGATGTTGAAACGATACCCCTGAGTTTGTGAACAGTCTCGATTCCACCACTTCCACCGAAATCAGGTGTTAGAAAACGTACCTTGGGGCGAAACGATAGAAACTCGCATGGGATGAAGATGAATAGCAAGCTGAATCTACTCTGTACCTCACTCACTCGCAGGCTCAGCGACAGCGGTAAAACTTGGTCGAATTCTCGCTCGCACTCCCTGAAGTTCGTCCCTGATACTTCGTACCTATTGAGGAATTGGCCTTGGGTGAGATGAAACTGGGGCACGGGACTCTGTTCTAACTTCTAGGGTTGGACAATGACCCGAGACCGAATATTGAAAGATCTCCGACCATCTTCTCCAAGCTTTTCTAGGTCTCTAGGCCTCTACTCTAGAAATGGGAAGAATCAGTGGAGTTGTTGGAGGTGTTGTATTGCTGGAGGTTACTTGGTTACGTGCTCTTCATCTAACATCCAGTGGCGTGGCCGAAATTAGGGGCTTGGAAGAAAAGACCGGATGTAGAAATGCTTCCTTCTGGTTCAATGAAGTGGAGATGTTTCGGTGTGAGCGCACGGAATTCTCTTGGAAGATGGGATTTTAGTTATTGCAGTCAGTATGGGATGGTAATGGGTAGGGCCCATTGGTGGTAGTCGGTAAGTTGCGAGTTGGAAAAATGAAAATGGGCATTGTGAATGGGATGAACGGCAAATGGATTGATTGATTTATGGAGAGATGATTTGAAGAATTGGAGAATTGAATGTCCAATGGTAAGGTCTGACTAATAGATGATAGATAATAGATGGATGGATGATAGATGATACTTGGTGGATAATAATGTAGACAATAATAAATAATAGATATAACATGGTTTATTAGTACGTACATTATATCAGTATATACACTATTATTTTTACATATAAAAAATGATTGTGTGTAACTATACACTTTCTTTATTTATTAATTTAATTTAATTTTTTCTTATATATATTATATTTGTTTATATAAATAATATAAAAATGAATTAAAATAGTAAAATCTTATAATAATAAAAAAGGTATTTAGAGAAATAGATTTTTGTAATACAAAGTGTGACATTCTTGAGCTACAATTGAGATATCTATAAAAAGCTTAAATTTTATAAATATTTCATTTTTATTATTTATAGGGAAACTTTTTCAGAGAAAAAATAATGATTAATGATTTAAATAAAAATATTAATAAAAGATTAATTTTGGTGTATTTTGAAGTGGTGTATGTACTGATAAACCATGTTAATTTTTACATCAGATCGTGTTGTTCATCCAAAGGATTTATCTTTAGTCATAGAGGGATCTTACTCATTCAATGACAACGACAATTGACACTTCATGGCCAGTCAGTA